AAAATACAAACTGGGGATCCCTTGGTTCGCGATGTACCACTCGCGTCGCCATCTTTTTTGTCTCCTTTTGTTAGCTTAGTAGCCTGGTCGCTGTGAATTGGACGAGGAACTTCGGGAACAGGCCCTGGTTGTTCAAACGTCGGATAGCGCTATCCACCGGATAAATCACTATCCAGCGGATAGCGTAATTGATTTCCGTAATACTTATCCGCTGGATAGTGATTTATCCGGTGGATAGCGCTATCCAACGTTTGAACAACCGGGGCCTGGACTTTATCCCGTCCCGATTACCCTGGACATGCTAGGAGTAGCTAGGAGTTAAAGCTAGGAGTGGGATGTGACGGATGTGAATGATAAAGGTTCTGAAGCTCAAAGAAGCGGTAAAGCCAAGAAGATATAGTGCCTAAATATCTTTCTGTCCAGATAAGGAGTTTGGAATTTGAACGTTCCGCGGTTCGGTAACGATCCGGCAAGGGTTGTCTGGTTTCTTGTAAACTTTGCAACGATTTCGCCCTTGTTTTATACATTACTGCTCCTGATCGGCTAGCAAAAACTGAATAAACTCAAGATGTATAACAATTTGGTGGACGTATGTTGAAAATTTATGTACATTTAAGCTGATTATATTTGTTCAGTTCCGCCTCGCCTAGTAATGAAAAGTTCTTTCCTGTTGGAGGGGCACGTAAGCTTGCGGTTTTGCTCGATTTTTGGTGCGGTTTTGCGGGAATTTTTATTTTAAGTTGCAGTATTGTGGTTTTACGCCAAGCGGTTTGCAGTATGTTGTCAATATTTCTTCATTGGTTCAACCATACAAAATCCAATCTCTTCCGTCGGTTAGAAGAAACGTGCGTTATGCAGACAAGATAATAGCCTGCGTAACCACCGTTTCTGTGCGGTTCGGGAGCAAAGAATGAGGAACAAGAGTCATTTCTCGCGCGGTCAAAACCGAAAATCCCTTTCCACGATCTTTTTTTCTGAGAAGGATTATCATGATAATTGCAGAGCTCAGTGGGAGGTGCAGACAGTCACCCATTGTCCTGGGTGGGGAGGGTCAGAGTCTTGGTACCAAGGACACACTTAGCATAGGATCTTTAGACACACACAGAAGCCATGTATTCATAAATCCCGACGGATATATCTATCACGTTTAATAACAACAATAAGCAACACAACAAAACACATCATTTCAATTCGTTTTCTGTCAGCTTTATATCCGTCTCATCGGAATATTTCTTTAAAAACACTTTTTGATCGAGCCTGAACATATATACGTGATTTGATTTTGTAAGGAAGCACATGACTGATTCACTAGACAATTACTAGTTTAGATTAAAAACTACTTGTGTTTTAGACATGAACCTCTTCAAATCTCATATATCGCATGTTTTTTTAAAAAAAGTCACGTTAACCCTCATTATTTCAAACAGGAAAAATAATATGTAAATTTTTGAAATAAATGAAAGTTCTTAAACTCCCTCGCTTATCTTTTGAAAATCTTTTTTTTACTACAAAAAAAAACAAAACAAAAACGCCTACTTAATGTCGTCTGATAGGTAATTGTGTTCATGGAAATTTTGTTCAATAAGCAGTTAAGGTTGATTACATCTGCTATTTGATAATTAAACACGCTGGCTCCAACAGTTCAGTCGGGCCGCAGAGGCCGATTAAAATTTGCGAATCATAAATGTGGCATACATAAGATTTAAGTTTTTAAACGTGTACAGGGATGGCAATTTTCACCGGCTATACTGAGTTCAGTGCTGTTTCGAAATGTAGATTTCCGAAGCAAATTTCAAACAAGTAATTTACCAAGACAGGTACTGCTTTAATATCGGCAATGGCGCGCGATTAATTTCGTGTAGGTATAAAATGACTCTCGACACTCTCCTTTCACGAAAACGTTTAAAAACTAAAAGCATTTCTTCTAGCTACAGAAAAACTCATTCCAGGCAATCATTTGAGCAAAAGGCTTTAAATTCCGTGTCCAAACCTGGCATCGAGAATTCGAACAATCTAACGACTGTTTTCCGTAACATATCTGTTTGAGGAAGCAAACATTGCCTAGAAATTTCTATAGCTCGAGAAAGGTTAAAAATTTCTGAATCAAATTTTCAGTCCATTCATGTAACAGTTCTTAATTTTCCTTTTTAACGTCCACACAACTTCCGCAAGTTGGGTTTATTCAAATTTAACTCCCCATACTTGGTTTCGAAAAACAGGATCCCTAAAATTTTGTGTCTTAAAGATCTGACGGAGAGAGGTATCAGACGATCTTCCGTTTGCGAAATTTAAAAAAATAAGGTCTTTGGGAAGGTTCTGAGAAAGCCCTAAATCGCTAAACTGAAAGAATTGGTAAAGGCTTTAGTTGAACATTCAGGTTCGTAGAAAAGCCGTCGTTGTGAGCCTCTGATGCCAGACCATTTTTGCCATAATTATTTGTCGAATACTGTTCCTTATCTCATTTCTTTATCTTTCTTGAAAGCAATTTCATTCACGTTTTCGTGGGAGTCTATATTACAAAAAATTAACGTGCTAAACTGAGAAGATACAAGATTATTTTGAGGACAGTAATATTGCCGGCATTACAGTTGGACGGCTTCATACACACAGTCAATATCAATTATTGTTTGATAAGGTTTTTTTAAAACGAGAGTGTTTCCCTACTCCCCAATTTAAAAACCTAACTGCATGCTTGTTCGATATAGTCACAATCCAGGTTCTTTTTTGGAGCGGGTTTTTAATATAAGTCGCACCCTTTGAACCAGTGTGGTCTCGAAGAATATATTCTTAGATACTTCAAGTATTTCAACACTGGCCACCCAATACATGGTCCACTTATATAGTAGCCTCAAATACTTGAGCTATCTGAAGACATTTGAACTTCAGTAACAACTTGATTTTCCCACAAACCATTTCATTTAACGCACCATTAGCGATTAAGTTTATTTGCTCCGAAGATAGGCTTACTTTTGAATATTTTAAGAATGTGTGGGCTATATAAGCTTGTTAATTAGCATGTGGACTCAGGTGGCCCTAAAATACACGTCCATTAGTACATGTTTTACCTACTTCTAAAATTTAGATTTTAGAAAAGGTATTGCTACATACTATGAGCAGGTTATGGGGTACAAGGTTTCCGTGAAACTACGGAATATGCAGACTCTTTTCGTTGGCTTGAATGTTTTTGAGAAAATAGTTCTAAATTCACATTTTTAAATCGCAGCACTGTAACGACATCATTTCTTCTGTAATCCAGCTTTACAGAACTCGAAAAGTTTTTTTTTCTGTTTATCACGCTTCTTTTTTACCACCAACGTTTTTCTAAAATGTAAGTTATTCCTTGCAATTACTTAAAAATATGTTAAGTTCATATCACGAAGTTAACGGATATTGTTAGGATGTTGCGACGCGACGGGCAAACAAAACAAACTAGCGAACAAACAGGTGCATTTGTAACGTCAGTTGATATCATCGGTATATCTGTTATTTATAATAACATAACTGCACGCAAAATCGTACAAAATTTGAATCCCAGATCAGAAAAAAAAAAGAAATTACAGAAAGTTTTGTGGCGACTTTTTTGTTTAATAACCGCAACTTACAATTCGCTATAATATCTGTCATCCCGGTTATATTGAACACAAGTGCTTTGTCATGCTTTCCTGAGGCTTCTTCGCTTAGCAAAGAGATCGATCTACATTGTTCTTACAAACAAAGAAACTATTACGTATACTTGCTTCAAATTCCTCATAGGAAAAAAGTTACTTCATAACAAAATGAAGAATTAAGGTTTCGAAAAAAATTCAAGGATCTTTCAACAGTGCGAAAAAGTTGATAGAGGCTAGATAAGATGTAAAGGAAAAAAGCATTTTGGTCATGGACAAAGATTTCTTGAAGAATTTTGTGGCCAAGTAGGCTAACTAAGCTGGTACACCAAGCATGACAAGGCATCTTAGGTGCGTCAGCAAAAATTGTAGAACAATATAAGAAGATGACATTTCTTAAACGAATGAATTAGGGAGTGCCCTCTCACATCAGTGAAGGTTTTCAAAGTGAAGCNCGTATGTCACCTTATAAAATTTGGCGCTTGGTAAGCGATTTATGATTTTGTTAACTTCAAAGTAAAGAAAAGCTTAGAGAACTGTTTGAAAATACTTAGCGCTAAGTCCGTTTATAACTTTCCATTTTAGGAATTTATCGAGTGAAAATTTAAAAGTTACCCAATTCTTCTTGCACTCTCCAGGGGCACCCAACGAGAATATAGTTCAAAACCACTTAAACATAGCATTGTTAAACGTATTTTAGTATTTAAACGGTAGATAAAGGCATATTTTTATCCCCTGAAAATTTTTATCTGTTCGGATTTCCTAGCTGAAAGTCTGGTGATCCGAAAATTATAGGGATCAAAACTTACCGTTTCGAAAATTTCAGCCAGAAAAAAGGCTCCTGAAAATTCTAGGTGACCTTTTTAGGGTAAAAATCCTTTAAAAATGGGCAATTATACCATTTTTTAGATGTTCGAAAATCCTAGGAGAGGCAGGCAAGCAAGAAATTTTACAACAAATGTTCCGAAAATTCTATATCTCAAATTGTCTTCCGAACAGATATTTTCCGAAAATTGACGTTGGGCGCCCCAGTGACTGTCCAGAGCAAAAAAAAAAAGTCATTAGCACAGAAGGTAAAAGGGTTAACCCTCAACCGTCAAACGGCAACATTCCGTCAACCGTCAAACGAAGTGGTAATTATTAGTCCAAAGTCCTTTTTCTGTTAATTAGTCCACAATTTCAAACCAAACAATGGGCTCCTCTTACGTTTAACCTGCCCAAGTAGTTTCTTAACAGCTGTCATCTTTTTAGACCAAGGTCGTATACTATAACCATTTATTCTTTCGCTTTCACTGGAATAAGTATACGACTTCGTTTTACATACAGGTGTGTTGAGCCAATCACAAATTTAGAAATATTTTGAATGGATAATGACATTTATTATCCCGTTTTTCCTCAGGTAATTCAACAACACTGGAGGCGGAAATAATGCAGCGAATCATGTACAGCAAGACGGCCTGGAAATTAATCAACTCTATGACTGGAATTACAGGCACAGGTGAGGCGATGGGTATCGCAGTCGAAGTCACACAGGACTTTCCTTTGGTATCTATTGTCACCATGCTTGCCCCATCACCTGATTGGTTCACTGGAATTAAGAAGGTATCCCTTTGTGACACCTCAAGCGGAATGTGGATGGACAGTCACACAATTTATAATCTACAACCCTGGGATGCTGGCACCGACAACGGGACAACTTTCATGGCTACGGATAATCCGACTATGCCCCCCGGTTATATCAGCATCATCACTACAACTGCACCGCCAACAGATTTTATGAATCTTACCACGTCAGCAATACCAACACTGGGTAAGATGATGTTCGTGAGACAAAACAAACCAACCATGAATCAATGCAGTGGCATGTACTATTACACAGTCAAGTTTGAGGCGAAGTGGTCACAGGCTACCCACCCCAATGGATGGCCGAGTGGAGCCAAGTTCTCCCCTCTCGTCATTGCTACTCACTCGTACAAATACAAAATGTGGAGTGATATGACCAGAGCCTCACCGGGTGTCAAGAAAGTTGCCGAAACAGGTGCGTCAATGTTTTCCTTTACTTATAAGGGAGAATAATGAGATAAAGAAGAAAAACGCCTATTCTAGTTAGTTGCCGAAACAGGTGCGTCAATTTTTAAGAGTTGATTACTAGTAAGATTTCTCTAAGTGATTACACTGATGGGTATGCGGAGGGAAAAAATTACAGCGGGAAAATTAAACAAACTTAAGCCTCCAACAGAATTTTTCATAACCGGGACCAAGGTTACTTGCAAAAGGCCTATTATTCCAACTAGAAAGCTCTTTCAATGAATCCGTGTGGCAAAAATCTCACCTAATTCTCAGATTGACAAATTGACTGACTATCATGAATCAGTGAGCTCACGATTATGAATAATAATATATTTCTTTATATAGCGTTAAATAGATAGAGGATATTACACGGTGGCGCGAAGATATGAATTTTATTTGCGAGTGGCAAAACAATCTGTTTTTACGAACGAGCGCAGCGGGTAAGTAAAATATTGTTTTTGCCACGAGAAAATAAAATTTATATCTTCAAGCTGCTTCAAGCCGCCGTGTAATGTTCTTTTTATTATAAAGACAAAAAGACATCGATAAAATAATAGATTTTTATTCGCCAAACGGTAATTGTGACGGCTCACATTTACAGTGTACAGCAATATAAGACATTGTTTACAATAATCTTGAGAAATAACACTGAGCTGAATAGGGCTCTACATTGCCAAAATATAAGCAAAGCTTTGAGAAATGTGTAATTGAAATTCAAAGGACGCAAGACGCCTACAAATATTGAAGGGAAATCACCGAAATTAAAACATCGATAAACTCACGTGTGAGATTATGGAAAATAAACCACCCGGGTCCCGGATGTATTTTTCACGAATTTTATGAGTGGTATATTTTCCAGTAAAACACTCGTCTCTATATAATAAATATACATATCTAAAGTGCTAATAAAAGTTGAGACAAACATTGACACATAACAAACATGACACTTGAAAAAATAAAAATAAAACACCGCAATAATCACTGTACAAGAATTGGCAATGTTTATTTGCAAATAAAGTTGGTAATACAAAACACCATTCCAATGCGATGGCAGTTATATTTTCGGTCCTTTTCACTTTTTCTGTCTGCCCGTTGTCTTTTTGTTATGGACTGATCTAAAGAGACTTGACTGACCACACCCTTGCCCACCCTCCACCCCCAATCCACCCGTGTACTTTGCCTCACTTTTTAATATCAAATTTGCCTTCATTTTCCTTTAACAGGAATGGAAGGAACATTGTATAACGAAGTTATGATGATGAAAAAGCCCGGGTTTGTCTCCAATGTCTATACAACCGGGGCAGTAAGCACTCCAGGTGGCTACAATAGCACAAAAATCATGGTACAAAGCATGTACTCCATGGTCTCTCTAATCAGCATGATCGCACCTTCACCTGATTGGTTCGTTGGAGTTGACAGCTATGATCTCTGTGGAACGAATGGATGGAAAGAAATGATGACAATGGACCTGCTCCCGTGGGATGCTGGGACGGATAGTGGGCGAAACTTTACGTCAGTAGACATGGCGACTAACCCTGTTGACGTCATCATGCGTATCACTTCAAGTAGTGATACCCAGATGGGCGCAGATGCCAATAAAGTCTTTGCTACAGTCACTTTCACGCGCGGAGAAATGATACCAACAACTACGCAAACAACAACTACGCAAACAACAACTACAGCTAGTGCCCCAGGCTTGTCGGCCGGCCTTTTTGCCTTCCTGTCCGTCTCGTTGCTTGCAATCATGGGTGTGCTGTACTAGAGTAATGCAATGGAGCTAGAGCGGTGCAACCAACACATTTTGTCATTTTCGAACATTTTCCCCTAGTACGTGGTCGATGCCATTTGAAAGACACAGTCTTATCTGGTCAAAGACCATTTTTTAACTAATTCTCGGTCAAATTAGACCTTTTTTCCGTGTAGAAAGTTTAAAGCTGACCAAGCACCTTCTGAACAGACTAGTATCTTGGCTAGTGCATATTCCATAATGGTTATTGATTTAATTGTTGGACAATTGTTACAGATTTCACAGAGACGCATTACAAATGAAATCGACCCTGTCAAACCCTGTAGTAGGATAAACCTTTTGTAAACTCTGCATTGCACGCGCGAATATACGTTTGTATTTCTTTCATTCTATTTTTTTTTTTTTGATAGTTTTGCAATAAATGTAACAATAATAATTCCCGATTTGGTGGATGAATGAAATTCTAGCCATCTTTGCCTGACAAACCTGGTAAATAAAGGATTTATTATGCCGCCAGAAGGATTTTTTTTTTCTTGCGGGAGGAACTCGAGTTATGTCGAACGCTAAAGATGAGCGCAACTTTCCCGTTTTGACAGGAAGTGGAACCACGTTTTTTGCTGCAAAATTTGAATAATTTGAGTTCATGTTTTTGGTCTATAAGAGTAAAGAAACTTGCAAGGTGTTTACCATTAACAAAAAGTTTCCTCAAAATCCGGTTAGAAAGTAAATATAAGGCCGCACTTTTGGCATTTTCAAACTTCAATGACGTTTTTTCATGTCCTTGGGAGTGAAAGCCATCATGGTGTCCCTACTAGTTTAGGCCAGTAAATTGAACAATAGTTTTTGTTTTATGTTTAACCTCGAAACTTTCTAGAGCATTCCAAAATATTTAAATGTTGGTTCAAACAACAAAGTAAACAAATTCAAAAAACCCTTGAATGCAGAGGTCCACTCCGGCAACGCGCGAGTAATGCTAAATAAAACCGACTGGTTTTTTCTTGCTGGATCTCTAATGTAGAGATGCTAATGCCAGACGTCACGTGAAGTGGGAATTAAAACAAAACTGAATACGGAAACGGGCTGACTTACTCAAGGCCAATATTTTAGTGAACAAAATTAGCCTTACTCAGTGTAGCTCTGGCCCTGAAGAAGGTTAATTTTGTTAACCGAAATATTCTGGCCTTAAATAAACCAACTCTGCCGTGTTGCGAGCTTTGCATTCAGTTTTGTTTTAATGCATCAGCATGGGCTCCTAGCATCAGTCAAAGTCTAGTCAATTCCAGCTGCGCCCTCTCCCCCCCCCCCCCCCGGGCTATTGGGGGGCTTTTCCCGCCCCCGTCACCCCCGGGGGGGGGGCGTTTGAAAATTTTGCCCTCCCCGGGGCGGGGCGTTTGCGCCCCCCGAGGTTTTTGGCCCCCCGGGGTGTCCCCTAAAAATATCA